CTGAGTTTGAGGAACTTATGAGTTGGCGAATGAATAAAGCTCCGACCTGGAGTTTTAGTAGTTTTGAGGATGAACATCTTGGATACAAGAAAGCAAAGACTGACCACAGACAAAAAAATTGCAATATATCTCTTCTTACCGACAGGAAAGGCGGGACGGTTGACGTTCATAGTATTCGGTGATTGTAGTGGTACAAGAGTGATATATACTTACTATGGAAGAAAGATGATCACAACAACGCAGGCTCCATCTGTAGAACAAACTTTCACTGCGGATTCGGGAACACATTAACTGCGTATGTCAGAGACAAGAATAGATTTGAATTTGGAGTCGCTCAATAGATTCCCATGAGAAGATTTCCATGAATTTTTTTGAGAGAGTAATGGGCGAGCTGACGATGAAAAACAGTGGCACTGTACGGAGTCCAACCTCGTCTATGCCGCATGGACTCGAACAAAATCCTGACTGGCAAGGAAACTTGCCAGCTGAGGCCCGAGTAATTTTGTCTTTTGGGTCCTCGGGTTAAGGTTGTGGCCAAGGGTAGTGCAAAGCACCGTTGGTTGCTGTTAAATATACAAGCCTTCATGCTCATGCCATGCTAAGGGCATGGTCGGCTACGATATTTGTAGTTGGAAACTAATTTATCAGAAAGTCTAATTTAACAATCTAATCTATTCGCTTATCGTCGCTTACCATTCTACTTCTAGGACATGTAAACTTGCAAACATTCAACGACAATTTGTGATTTAGTCTATACAGCACCTTAGAAGAAATAAGGCACGTATACTGTAAACATTGATCACCTCAATCTGGATTCGTTGCTGATATCTACCTCTCTAGAATCCCAAGTGTACGCTCAACAGTTGCCATCCAAGATTAAAATATCTAATTACACATCCAAGACTCTCAACCATCCGTGTTTGTGACATCCTACCCAAGGAGCAGGCTCTATTTAGTCTGAGCTACAAGAATCCCAGTTGCTTACCGCCGGAAATAGAAAATATTTGATTATATGCAGATCCTGGTTTGTCCGCCTGTTGGCAGTGCTGCCTCAATCATAGATTGACAAGATGAATCCAGAAGGGTATATACGTATGTCTTCACAATTCCTTTTCAGTGCTCTTCACCGCAATCCGTCATCAAGTTCTATTCTGTTAGCCCTACAGAATGGTACACCAGAAGCGGTGCTGGGTATCGCTTTCTCGATGACATGCTATATCCTCAGAAGGTGGCACGCTCAACGATATAAATGGCCAGCGAAACCTCTGTGGAAAATATTGACATCACCATCCCTCATAGATCCCTCACAAACTCACAAGAGCGCTAGTTTTCGCGATCATGTCTCCAATCACACTACCTCCTGGGTTCTATGAAATCCACACCCATACTGATGGAGGCGAGACGAAGGTTCTTACCCCTGAATCTTTCGGCATTGCAATCGCCACTGGTACAGCATCAAGAAGTGCAGCTGTAAGCTGGTCTAGCGTACCCTCGGGGGCCGCATCATTGTGTTAATTCTCTTCTTCACATGTAGTGGCAGATTTCTAGTGACGGGTTGATTGTGGCTTTCGACAAATCTGGAACAGAATATCAAACCCTGACGAATAACAAGCCCTGCATAAATGGAGAAGAGGTAACCACGGAAAAGGAGGGTGGAATGCGATGGATTATCTATGGGGTCGAGCAGTAAATAAATTTTTTGAACAATACATATCCAACGACCTTTTCTTCTGCAGTCATCTCGGCAACTTTTGGACTGGATCTATCATGACTTGCGATGGAACTAAGCTTTTCTGGAATGTGGACTCATACGACAAGGTAAATATCTAACACTTGAATTTATCAGTGCGGCGCAGACTTTACTTAATTGACCTAACGTCCTTCAGGTTCGTCTTGAATATTTCAAGGACGTTTGCATCCAAAATATTCCACTATTCCACTTTATTCCTGTTGGCCCCAGTGATGGCAAGCCCTTGAACCAGCTTCCAGGGAATAAGTTCCGCTTTGAAAACCCTCCAATGGGAATAGGAATTCTAGAGACCATCATCACCTTGATAATTCTAAATCTCTATATAATTCTGGAAATGTCTAGGGGTAACCATGCAGGCAAACTGACTGAGCTTCTGCCGCCCTGGTTGAGAAAGTAGATCTTTGGCTTTGGAAGAGTTCAATGGGCGTTGCCCAAACATTGAATGTAGAATCAGTAGAGATAGTTCCATTTTAATATGATAAACCGTCCCGTGAACTATTAGTGTACATATATATCAGCATCGTTTATCCCGAAAATTGTAGCTGAAAACATGTTCCGGATCCGAAAGTATGAGGGAGCATTGTACCTATTTGAAATGATCACTATCTCGTTGAGTTGTCGTCAAATCTTTGGTCTCTCCCGATTGAATACTTCTAAGTTCTGGTCTTCTACTAGGGGGTAGGTATTCTTTTCAAATTCAGGGATCCATTTGAAATTCAGTGATCCAAGCACGCCACTGACTTTCTTTTATAGCACAATTATGACTAACTAAGTAGAGAATCACCGATCAAGCCCTTGCTGCCAGGTTTTTTTGTGTACAGTGCTAGGTACCCTTTCGGCTCCGACATTCCTTGCGATGTATTTTCAATGACAGGGGAATGTGATTGAGAAGGGAGGATGAGAGGACTTAGACGAGAGATCAGATGAACGAGACGATATATATATATGTTCAAGTGAACGAAAAAATGGCACCTAATCCTACCTATGAATTTAAGGAGTACAGAAACCCTTACAACCAAGGAAAATGTGTTGTGCTGTCAAATCCACAACGCATTCGAGATAGTATGTAACACCCAAAACGAAACCGATATTATCGCCAACATATGTTCAAGCGGGCGAGAAAAGGGCATCTATTCCTACCTATGAATTTCAGGGGTATAGAAACCCTTAGAACTAAGGAAAATGCGTTGTGCTGCTAACTTCACGGCCCATTGGAAATAGTATGTAACACCCGAAAGAGATAAACACTTATAATCATATGGTCCCTTTATATCATCTCTAGATATCCCTAGTAGTAGATGCGACCTCTTGAAAGTTCATCGTTCCAATTCCAAAAAAAAGATTGCTTATACATTCCCTACAATCTTCTGAGGACCACGTAAACCCTCTCGTCGTTCCTGGATGTACGTCGGCGCTTCCGGAGAAAGTTCAGCTTGGTCCTCGGCTGCATAAAGTGAGTAACAGTAATAATCAAGTTATGGTCAGAATTCTGAGGACTTCAATGTCCAAAAGAAAACTTACGAGCAGAGTACCAGAAGTACGTGATTAATCCGACGAGGACGATGACATAGGCTACAAAGTACAGCCAGTATGGCTGGTAATGCTAGAAGAACTATAAATTTACGGAAACCTTTGACGATAGAGGTAGGAACACTGCGCACATAAAGACCCAACCCGAAAATCAACCCGTAAAAATCACTTGAAAGCAGACTGAGATTATAATATCCTGAAGACGCCATCCGGTATAAGATTGGCGCGATGGAGTACAGGATGAACATGGCGGATGTGTATGCGAGGAGCAGACCAACTATACAGAACTCAATGAACTGGAAGCAATGTATAATAGAAGATGATGATCACCATTGGCGCCACTCCATGTAGCTGCGTGCATGTCGTTGTGCTCGAGTCCAGCAGCTTGAGAAACACAGATGATGAACCCGAACATTCCCAACTGGCCAACAACCTTCTAGGGAGTTAGGCAACACAAAAAAAGGGCCAACAGTATTGACTGCACCTCGTACAGGGGTCTCTTACGGACAAAGAACTCCTCGGTAGCGTTAGCTATATACAGAAGCGATAGCGTATAAGTGCAAGTTTTTTAGAACAAGGCGTACACGAAACTTACTGAAACCATATAGAGTTGCACCTGCGATCATGAGAGCATCACCCTTCCCTCGAGAAAGTGCTTCGTAGTCTTTGTCTGTCAGCTCGTCTGAGCAGACAAGAAGCCCGAGTCCTAATACACATATGAAAACGCCCTGTGGAGATCTCCGAATCAGTTATGACAACAAAGTCTTCGGTGAACAGGGTCGTACAAGAAGCTGCGTCCAATGATATTTTGTCCGGAAATAAAGCCACGAGAAGAAAAGGCATACTGGGATGGCCCATCTATCACAAATCGATTGAGAGAGAGGTCAACGTTTTGAGAGGTAACATCACGTACGCATCAAGCAGCATGCAGGAAAGTAGATCCGTATACTCGTAGGCCTTGACCACCATAAAATTTCCTTCAACATCACATGCGGCTAAGATAATATCTGACAACAGGGATTTGGTTTAGCTTGGGGTTTAGTTCGACATGCACAAAAGTAGATAGATGAAAGCACATACATTTCCAGCCATCGCGCAGGACCATCTCAACCCAACCCTTCAATCCATCTAGATTATGTCGACATGTTAGATGCGAGGGTAGATAAGGAAAGACTACCTACAACGGTATATTGTGTAGGGTGTGTATGTGGCGAAGAGGGCAAAATAGCTAACCCAGAGATGTAAGCAAAACCGGAATCTGATGATAGTGAAACAAAACGCACAAGAAAACATTCTGAGTCGTCGGAAGAGACCAGTTTCTGAGCATCAGCTCCGTCGTGGAGACATTCGTGCAGGTGATGCACAAAGACACAACCTGCCCTGCAAGGAGAGAAAATAGGAATCTTTTCGTGAATATGCTTTTGATACGAGCATTGACACTAGTGCTGAAGGCGCCTGGAGATGAAAAGTCGATGGAAGGTCTCTTCGTAGGGTCCTCAATGATTGATTGAGATTCAAGAGCTGGAGGAGTGTAATCAAAGTCCTTTGAGTCCTTGCCCAACTTGGCAGACGACATTGTGTTGGAAAAGATGGCGACGGTTCAGGTTCAAGACCGAAAGCTGTCTTCGACGGAGCACTCTCACATTTCAACATTTTATCGGATTATGAATTACGGGATCGATGCGGAATTCGACACTCAAAAGTTTAAAAAAATCTCTAATGGACACTAGGAGAGTCGAACTCCTGACCTCTCGCATGCGAAGCGAGCGCGCTACCAACTGAGCCAAGTGCCCCCTGATAATTAGGATGTTAAATGCACTCTGTGTCATATTTTTGATAATTAATCCGCTCGGAGATGAACATCGCAATGGATGCATGTCTACTGATTCAGCATGATAGCTGCACATCTCGCCTCCGCTAATGTCAAACTTGAGAGGATTCTTCTCGCAGCTACCAATGCCAGCCCAAGTCGAAACTTTCCACAGGAATAAGTCCGCGAAATGTCTTGTACCTCCAATAAAGGATTGAGGCCCTGAAAAAGTCGGCGAAAGCGCTTGGAATCGATTGCGGTTCGCAATGCGTAAGAATATTCTGGTTCCAGTCGTTTTTTTTAACATGGAGCAGATGCTTTCTAGACAGCTTCAAATACTTCTTGAATCTACATAACCTGGGGTCTAATCCCTCTTCAGTTCATTGCCGAAGTACTGTTCGCAAATCCACTCATTCTGGTCTTTAAACGAGAACGCTCCCCCCTAGTCTTGTGCTATATCTTATGCTGTCTGTTGCCCCTACACCCATGTCCTGTGTAGTCAAGAACCTTTACTATCAGGACCGAAAGCTGTTTGATGTGCTTCCTTGAACGTGCCTCAGCCTAAACGATAACTTCACATTCTGAAACTCGGAGCCGCCTCAAGGCTAGCTGCAGCTAGTACACCGGGTGCAGCAGTGTTTCAATACCATCTCTTGTCAGCATTCATGATACCTTAGCCCTCCCTTTCGACTAGCTGACGTTGAAGACTCGTCAACCACTGGGGAAAGTTAAAAGGGTCATTATAAAATCTTGATTTTGTCTTAGAAAGAAAGGCGGATCCTCCCGAGTGCGAGTGCTGATAACTGGATTAATATGGCAGACATTGCTTGACATACTGATGCAAACTTACCAAGGATCCCCAGGTAGATTGAAGACAGCACAACTGGAAGCGGGGTATAATATCTGGCATTATCATGTAAAGGACAGGTCCGTGCGATGCGATAAAGGTATTAGAAGACGGAATATAGTGAGATCCCTAGTATCACGACTGAACTTTCTTTAGGTTCCTGTGCAATTCAGGCTTGACCTGGGTGACTCTGTCTAACAGCTTCCGTACGACATCATCCTTGTGGCTGTCGTAGGAGTCGGTGATGGATTTGAGCTTTACTTCAGTATCTTTGTCAACAGCAGCTTGTGCCTTAGACGTTGTGCCAGCATGCTGCAAGTTGTATCAGTATTCTGAAAGAATGCGATAAACAGTTTGTGACGCACTGATGCTTCAAACTTCTTGAACTCAGCCTCTTTGGCCTTGTGGTATTCTTCTATCTCTTTGGTAGCCTCTGTGCGAGCATCTTTTAGTTTCTGGATACGATCTGTTCGGAAGTAAGACTTTGAATCGATGAGGTGGTATCTTGGGAACGAACACTGGCGGGCGTCCTGTACAATTTTGGCAGCAGCTTTCTCGGCCTCGAGCAGTGTTTGGATACCTTGGGATTGTTGAGCAGACTGAGAGATTTATTAAAGATGGATTTCAGATAGTTGAACGAATATGAAATACCATTGTTGTCGGTTGAGAGAAGGATGAATTGAAACTCAGCGACTGATGTAAAAGGTTTGTTGGGAACAACCATTTGGACGATGGCGAGTAATCCGGTCGACCCTCTGCAAACGTTACAGGCTGCTCTAAATACCGAACCAAATTCTAAAGAACAAGCAGAGATTCTTGCTACGCTACGAGAGTCGCTCGAAGTCCAACCAGCTCCAATTCGAGTTCTAGTTCCAATTCTCATCTCAAAAGTCGTCAACGCAGGCGACTCACTCTTGAAATCCTGGGTCATCGACTTGTTTCATTATGGTTTATGTCGTTCTTCGCTGAGCTTGGATGTGAAGACGCAACGTTCGTGTATAATATTCATTCTTCAGTGAATCATAATGTAACCGCGGTTTTTGTTCATCAGTATCCTCTCAAACTCTAGAAACTCTTTTCCATTTACTCGACGACCCCAGTCCACTCACCGTGAAGGTTGTGATACAATGCTTGGCGACTGTTTATCCGCTTCTTTTCCGTTCCCTGTAAGAGGTCTTCCGAGCTCAAAATGCGCGACCCATAATGAACTCCTCGTCCACAGATGTGCTAACCGAACCAACCCTGCTTCCTGGATTGTGCTGTCAAATTGCAAATCCAAGATCCTTGGTTTTGTCGGCTTGCCAAGTGTTAATACCGGCGTTAGAATTTCTGCACTCAAGTTCATGCAGCGGGTCATTCTCGTGCAAATACCACAAGGAGTATCAGATCCTAGGGTGAGCAAACACTACTCTGCTAGAATCTTTTCTAACATCTTGTCACTTTCTTCAGCTTCAGAATAAGAATGACCCGAATCTTTCATTCTGTCCAGCAAATCATCCGTTCATTTCTGTAACTCAGCTGGAAGCGGAGGGCCAGTTACTGCTCAAAACTGTCATCGAGATACTCTATTCCACTCAGTAAGTGAGACTTTATTTATGCTAGAATTCACGATTCACACAACTCTTAGAAACGTTGATCTATTATCAGCGCTACTCAACAGCTGGGCCACATTGGTAAAGACGCGACCGAATATGATGCATCTTGTAGTAGCTGCGTTGAAACAGTGGACCCCCGCAGCCTTCACTGGTCTCTCCGCGTCGACCATCAAGAGTGCTGAAAAGGCCGTTCGTATATTATTGATACATATATCGCGGTACGAGCAACCTTCGTTCTTATTCCATATTCCCTCAATCTAATTTTACCTTGTAGTATCCCTAGCGCGAACCAATTTGTGCCCCAAATCAATGAGGCCTTGGCAGCTCAAGCATCTCGGATGGAAGTAGCCGCCTCCGATGAAAAGAAGAGAAAGGCTGCTGTGGCTGCTGGCGTTCCTGACACCAGAAAGCGGCCTACAACCGAAGGAGACCGCACTGATGTGAAACGCGTCAAACTAGAACCTAGTCCACCTGCACCTCCAGCACCAGATCCCTCCCTGTCTTTACTTGCCTCCTTCGACTTTTCTACCCTTCCCGCCACTCTCATCACAGATTTGATCGTAGCCAATCTCGAAGCATTCACTGAACCTGCTTTGGTTGCGCTCGTTCAAGCCTACAAGCAGAAGATTGGAATCAATACTTTTTCCACTTCAGTGCCCCCACCCTCAGCCACCACCACTCCCGCCTCTGCACCAGCAGCCACTCCGATTGTACCCGCTGTGCCCGACACTGTAGACCAAGACTTCGCTCGTCCGCCAACCCCCAAACCTTCCATTATTGTACCCGCGCCTCCTGTCAAAGAAGAGCCTGTCGATCCTCTGCAAATGGATATTGACCAAGATGAGCTTGAGTACGAGCCAGATAGACTCAATGCAGAGGTAATGTCCCTTATGCATATGTATCAGTACTACAAGCTAATTCCCGTAAAGCTCTCAGGACCGGTGCCTTCAATAGAGCCAGACAACGTACCTGGCACCCAAGAGCAACCAATAAATCTTTCACTCGCCGAATTTAGCCTTCCTTCACCGAGAGACTTAGCTAACACTGATGACCGTATCACTTTGATATCCAAGTCTATCTCAAGGATACATGAGGAGGCGGCGGAGATGTACCCAAATGCAGCTACCAATCCTGGCGTGGATGTAGCGATTGGAGGGCCAATGGATATGTGGATGCTATTGGTAGTTCGAATGTTCACACGCGTGGCAGAGCCTCCTCCCGAACTCGATCACTCTAGCGATGGCGAGGATGCTCCAATGGAGAACGATAAGGACATAATGCTCTTCTATGAAAAACAAGACAGATTAAGACGAATTCTGTGCGATTATATCATGTCGGACTTTCCTGGGCGGTAAGTATATCCTGATGCCTGTGTGAAGATAGTGTATGGAGTCAATAATGTTTGTCTTAGAGTCCGGCTTGCTACCACCTGGATGAACGAGGAATGGTATAATGATCAGATACGGCTGGAACGGAATCCAAAATGGGTGAGGATAACAGTTGGTCATTTTTTTCACCTGGCACTGAATCCGTAGTCCCCAGCGACAAAACTATGACATTTGGCTCGGCCAAATAGTCGCTTTTTATCAAACACATCTAGATGGAAAGGATCGAACATTCGCGCGCTTTCTACTCGACCTTCCTTCCTTACCGGCTGATGTTTTATCCCTTCTGCGTGACCTTTGCGTAGATAACGAAAGGTAAACCTCCCAATTCTTGTATATCACAGGCCCTTTTAACGTTCTATCAGCCCAGACAAAATGCAGATCGGGTTCTCTACTCTCAGAGGGTTCGTTATGCAACGCCCTCTAATGCGGGCCGACGCTCTCAATGTCCTGCTCGAGCTCACGACACACTCCGAAAAAAAGATTCGCGGGGCGGCTATCAACACTGTGAAGTTATGGGTTCCTAATCATCGACCTATGGATAGTATGATTCGGGAGTTTGCTTTACAGATCCTACGTAAACTACAACGCGTGCCTATACAGCAAAATCTACCGGAATCAAACCACGACATTGCCGACATCAATGTTAATGGAGACTCGCAACATGGAGTCGATGAAGAAGAGAGATCCAATGAAGAGGGCAAGGCGCCAATGGTCCCGGATCCTGAGTCGGAAGATGGTCAAGATGAGAATATGGAGGACGGACAATTACCTACGGAAGATCTTATTCAGACACCCTATCTGCCTGAAAGAATTGAATTACCCGCAGACAAGAGTCATGTTCTACAGCATGTCGAGCTTCTATTTGCATTGTCGGTCAAAGTCCCTGATCTTCTTGACGAGTAAGCTGTTGGAAACCTGTGTGTATGTGCCTATTGAATATCTGATTTCTTCTTAGTCTATTCGCTGCGTATGGTCAAATGGACATTACTGTGCAGGAGGCTATACAGAGTCTTATCACAGCACTTGTTCGCTCATTAGGATCAAGTCATGGAAAGCTTCTTACATTGATGAGAACATGCCCGCCTGGCGCCGAATCTTTAGCGCTGCGTGTTCTCACTATATTCACCGAGCACGGTAGGCCGAGTTCTCAGCT